ATTATTCATCGTGCGTACAGACTGGCGTCCTGCATCACTTTCATTCAATTCTATTATTGGCCTTTATCAATACCACTTACCAGTACCGCAATTAACTGAAATAATTCTGTAAGCAGTGTGTGAACAGAAATGTCCAAAAGGAAAAAAAAAGACAAAAAATTACTGGGCTTTCTAACATGGGGTGAAAGCCCTGAACTTTCTTTAAAATCAGTCATCATTGTTCATAAATTAATACTAATTAATGGAAACACTTCCAGTAGACAATCACTTCAGATATCAAAAACAATTGCTCAAAGTCTTATCAACTGTCATAAATTTCTAGCGTCCATTTATTTTTCTTTTACATGTTTCCAATGATTAATTACCATGAGCCTTGGCTAAGGCAATGATCCTTGTTTCTCCAGTTGCTTCGCCAAACTCCGTCAACTTGAAGGTTTCTGTGCTGGGCCATCTTTGCTGATGTTGGTGACCGGCAATAGTACCTTCGGAACAAACACCAAAGCTGCGAAATTACTAAAGTTGCATAACATTTAACAATGAGGGAAACGACATCACCTTTAATCAGCCTGTGGCTATATTAGGGGAAAAGGTAAAGAACATCTAACAAATGAACACACCAATAAATGCATAAGATATATACTGGTATGTGTGTGGAATATTCCCCATTTCACATGTTCTTCCGTTTTTCTGAGTTCAGTCGAAATCTATTTGCTTCGTACGTGGAAAGTGAGAGATTTTCTTTTATGCCTGGTTCTTCCCACATTTTGTCGTCCATCTGATTTTCTATGGGGCACTCTTTGACTTATTTTTATTATGAGGGCTTCAAATGTTTTCAAAATCTGTCAGAACTGGTTGAGAAAGAGCAATGGGGCTCAACATAGCCACGGCAGAAGGAGCCAGCTTTGCGCAACACAGTACAATTTGGGGTGTCCAGAGTGCGATTAACGGTTGCTCCTACTTGTAGGGTCTTACCGTCATTGTTAATACTGTTTCCAGTTGCTAGCAGCAGGAAGTATCGATTGTCACCACTGACATTGTAGAAAGTGCTATCGCCTTCTAGACTGGCTTGTCTCGTGAACATGCACCTGATTGCATTATTTTCGATCGTGACAGCTTGTTCGGTGACTGTGTTCTGGAAAAGGGAAATCAAGTTTGGAAGTAGACACTGCAAACAAGGCAAGATACTGTGTGTGGAGGTTGGAGGAGAGGCATGAACATGAAAGGGAAGGGCAGGGTTCAGCAGAAACAGGGGGGGGGGAAAGAACAGTTACAGAAAACAACCAGATCCAAACCAGGGCAGAAAAGGAACTAACAATAATTGTCTGGATTACTGTGCATGACTTGGAGGGGGATCAAGACAGTAGAGAAGGGTTGGGCATAAACTTAGACAGGAAGATCGATGACTGTGAAAAAAAGGAGTACGAGAGCATTAGCCACTTGACACTGGATGACCTGTAAACACACATAATTTTCCTCATTCGTTCCACAGAGGACATGTATACTCTCATTTAAGAATTCTTTTTTCATTTTTGCAGTTGACGTATTAATGCATCNGTGCTTGGTTGGGTCAAAGTGCAATTGCAAGGTTGAAGAATTTGCAGGTGAAAAAACCTACCCCCTGCAGCTTTTTCAGGTAAGAAAATCTGACATTAAATGGTTATGGTCAAAAAGAGGAATGTGGAGGGTAGATCTACTAAAAAAGGGAGATGGGGTCTCTAATGCCCCCCAAAAGGGGAGAAGTGGGGGTTAAAAAAAGGGGTAACCAGACTATTTAGCTCACTGCTTGTGGCGGCATGACAGGGGAGCGTTATACTTACCGGAGGTATTTCTCTGGATGGAGAGTCATAAGGGGTGACATTTTCTGACCGTTTGACCTCTCTGTTCTGAGTGCATGCATACACATCTGCTGGACTCTTAATGGTGAAAACAACAAAATGCAAGGGACAGGTGAGCTAACAGGAGGCTTACATATTGGAACCACAGCACAAGGAGATACATGATTAACAAATTGATATGTTCACGAGTGCACAAAATATGCTCTAACCAGGGATGAGACTATATCCACAGAATAGTAAGTTTTTGAGGGCTCACAGCAGAATAGGAAATACTGCTCGCCTAAAGGCATCACTTAAAATCGAAATTTCTTAAATCCTCCATGAACCTCAAGCACCTTGATTTTACCATATTTAAGAGATCATTGAAAAAATCCTGACATCACGACGATCTGGATGAAAAATCCTGAAATCAGGGAAATCCCAGCAAGTTTCACCCTGTCTGATGTAGCCACAAATACCAGTATTTGAGAAAAGAAGAAGTTACTTTTTTTAACTTCAAAGAAAAATAAATAGTGCGAAACTACATAAAGCGTATACTTTGGGATTGCTGATCTATAAGAACCGAAGTTACATTCTGTTTGGTTTGGCACTAAAAGCATTCACATATAGAGTGCATTCTATTTTCCCAATCATTCGTCAAGCAATGAGTTACAGTGACAGAATCCTGATGAAACGCACCATGCCATCTTCCACACTGGACGGCCGCAGTCCGACGGCCACCCACGACTGAGCCTGCCCTCTCATGGTGAAGCGTATCTGACCGTCCTGCAGTGCTTGCCAAGTCACGTATGCCAGGCAGTTGTCGCCACTGCAATCCGACGGCTGTCTGAAACAACCTCTGGTGTCTCCACATCCTTGCAGCTGAGATGAGAAAGACACCAAGATCGAGATCATGGGTACATTCCTGGCATCTTAGCATACATAACGTCAGTCACCAAGGAGGCGTGGAGCCTCAAAGAAACACCATGGCACTGAATGACTCAACTGGGATAGACTGTGGCTGTTACAGCCAACAGCTGTTTCCGTTGATGCACAAACTTCAGTGGGGTCTAACATTCATCGTATCACAGCTGGGTCATACATGAAAACTTAAACCACACATAAGAAAAAATGGCAGTGATATGCTATACAAAACTAAACATGACATAAAGAGCCAAAAGTCAGTTCATTCCCACCTCATCCTTCACTCTTGTTGGTCACTGATCGACAGTTGCACTTTTTTTGTCAGGCAGCTATGGCAGCAATTACACTATTACGATGGCAAAAACTAATTTCCCAAGGTACAGCCATATCATCCAGTCATCATCAATTGATGATGTGACCAATCCACATTCGAATTACGATTTTCCACTTTAATTTTGTAATCCCTGTCTTGAGTTTCTTACTTACGTCTTCACCAGGAGGTACCGTTGCTGGTGGCTGGGTTGGGATTGCAAATTCCGACTGTAGCTTCATCGCTGCGGGGGTACTCCAACGATCAGCATGGTTAGTCCCATCAATTGTTCCTGTGCGGAAAAGAGGTATGTAAAGGGAATGTTGAAATGCATCCATGAGGTAGTGCTCCTAATAAAATGACTGATGTCCCTCCAACACAACATGTCATTCTTGATTTCATGTTCTTTGAAGCACAGCAACAAGGAACAGGCAACAGTCGGTGGACTGACACACGATACAACTTTTCCTCACCGGTTCCCATACTGAAATACCACACATATTGAATTGTTGCACACCATTGACAGCGACCTGATTTGGGGCTAGAATCTTTGCACAGTGTCACCTGCGATATGGATGCTTGCACACACATCCATTGGACAGGTTGGCACTTAGCCAAAAGTTTCCCATTCCAATCTCTTATTGTCACCTTTAAATTTGTCAAAAACAGCAACAATTCTTGATTTTATTCACCGGTCCCTTTATAAAATTAACGCACATTTTGTGCCACCCTGTATTTTGAAAATACCCAAAAACATTCCACCTTTCACCCCTGAAAGGGTATTTACCCATCGACCCTTGCCACTGAAAATTTCCATTTCCAAAATCTTACCATCTCCATTAAGCTTGTCACCCACAGCCAGGAGGAGATAGTAGGCATTGTCGCCGCTGATGTCAAAAAATGTACTGTCGCCTGCCATGCTGGCACTTCTTGTGAACACACACGCAATGGCATTATCCTCAAATTGAATGAACTGTGTTGTAACAGAACCCTTGACAGAAAGTGACAAAGAAAATGAAACAAATCAGAGGAGGAAGTAGCCAAGATTATGATGATCCTTCAGTCTGGGCTGCAAGTAAAAGCCCATTAGCAGGATGGCACCACATTTATGGTCAGGTGATACATATGCGTTACCTGCCTTTTCCACCAATAGGGGTTCTTTGATTTGCCAAAATGATTTGCTTTGCAAAGAACAAACCCCTGATGTACTGCCATAGCAATAACGATCTCTCCTCTGATTCACACAACCAGGCACAAATCCATATGACGATGGGTCAAATTAAAGCTTCCGCATCGTTCCTTTTTCCGCTTTCAATGTGACTCTCAATTATTCCACCCAGTAATTTCATAACGGCCACATCTCTCTCACTTTGTGAGAAACTGCTCCATTGCAACAATGCGCCACTCCATGCATCGTTGTTTCAAAGCTACGAGGAACCAAAAATTTATATCAACCCCAGCTTTTTTAATTGTCAAAAATACCTGCATATGCTCTTCTTGTTAACAATGCCTGAGAGAGATCTTATGAAGAACCGAGATTTCCCGATTCCCATCTATTCTAAACAATTCTCCTCCTTCCAACTATACAAAACAGATTCCAGTGATATTGCCTGGCAGAGGTTTGCAAGCCAAGATTCTTCATTATCAGTGTCTTTCAGTCATTTCTGGAGTCCTAGATGCCTTCAAAACTCTGGCACTTACTGCTGGTATAGCTCTAGTCTCCGAGTTCCACCTGTTTTGAGCCGTTAAGACGTTTTCTGTTCGTTCAACAGCTGTCCCATTGCTGGTACATACATAGACGTCTGCTGGCACCTGGGCATTGCAGAAAATGCAACCAATGGCATTTTTAGCTTGGGTAGCATTGCATTCCTGAGACAAAGATCTTCCACGGCTAGAGCCGAGGACTGCCTTAAGCAACAAACATATATGTATTTAGTAAAGTCAAACTTTGCTTAGGTTCAGAATTAGAATGCCAAAGGTTAGAGTTTTAGGGAAAAGAAAATATACCATTCCAGAGGACTGAGTTTCTGGTCGAAGTCCGACAGCAACCCAAGCTAGATTCTGTGCTCGCGAGGCCCTCATGGTAAACCGTGTCTGTCCGCCAGTGACATTCTCCCACGTCACAAATACTGTGCAGTCTTCGCCGGAGCAGGTTGACGGTTGCCGGTAGCAGCCTCGAGTGGTTCCACAACCAACCAGCTGTATTGCGGGCAAATTGGATGAAAAAGTGAATCTTAACCCTAACAGTCCCAAATCCTCCAATTTCAATATGATTTTACATACACTTTAGGGGTTAAACGGGTTAATGACTTCAAAGAAACCCCTGATGGCAGACTTTTAAAGTATCAAACAATACCAAATGACTCCGTAACTCCCTCCTACTGCATCCGTGTATCCTCAAATCAAACATCTGTCCTACTTCACTTTTCCAATAATTACATGGTAAAACAGCAGTTCCAGGAATTTGCAGACAGTCAATGAAACAAACGAACAGAATTTTAATCTGAAAATTTTCTCCCCCTAACTTGGCCACCTTTCAAACACAACCCCGACAGCGTGGCCAAGTCTTGCTTGTCTTTGTCTGGGGTCTTGCATATACCTCTGGTTCTGGGGATACTTCAAATTCTGACTGTAGCTTCAACGCTATGGGCGTACTCCAACGACTCGCATGGTAAGTCCCAGAAATTGACCCTGAATTGGAAAAAAGGCAAGAAAGGAAAGAGATGTGAATCTCAATATCATATCCATGCAGCAGTGTTCCTGGTAGTAATACGGATGTCTGGCCAGCATGAACTGGCAGCAAGAACATCGTCAGAATAGTTCAACAACATTACAAGTAACAGTGAGGCTGGTACAAGAATCCACGAGACAATTTATCAACAACTTTAATTTTCAGGATCTTATTGATTTTTCATCAAAAGCAAGTACGTTTGAACCTCACTTGTCTTGGTACCACTGTCTGAAAGGAAAGTACCCTAACGAAGTCCAAATATAAAAAAGTGCAAATTAATTTTGTCGCTTATACAGCACATGTGCTTACATGTAATTGTCCATGCTACTGACGGTACGGGAAATTTCTATAAAAGTAATCTTACCATCTCCATTAAGGTCATTGCCTACAGCCAGAAGGAGATAGTAGGCATTGTTACCGCTGATGTCAAAGAAAGTCCCGTCGCCTGCCACACTAGCATTTCTTGTGAATGTGCACGTTATCGCACTGTCGGCAAAATTTATGGACTCGTTGGTTACAGCACCCTGTCATCAGATAAAGGTTATCAGATGATTAACTGGAACGAGAAGGTGCCCTAGTGGTCCCCTAGTCGTGTATAAAGGATGGCCAGAGGGCTTTCTGTAATGCTTGTACCTTCCCTCGGACCAATAAATCCAATCACATCAGGAGTTCATAAAGTAATGGTATCAAAGTTGACATAGACTCTACCATGGGCATCAATCAGTGGGGGTGAGGGGACATGCCCCCCCACTTTTCCAATTTGGGGATACTATTATGTATATCTATTCCCCCCTCCCCACTTTTCCAAGTGGGGGATACTATTATGTATATCAATTCTCCCCTCCCCACTTTTCCAATTTGGGGATACTATTATGTATATCTATTCCCCCCTCCCCACTTTTCCAAG